AATCAGTTAACAATGAATGCCATCATTCATCATTGATATAAATGTGTAAAAATTGTTTCAAACATTTCAGCATAACAATTTCAAAGGGCTCATCTATGTATCTGAACAATATTTTAAAGATTTTTGTTCAGTTGAAATGCACTTGTGTTAAAAGTTTTGTTTTTTAAAAAAATATGTTTTGTTAGTTATGTTCAAGTAAATGCTTCTTTTTAAACTCCAAAGCATTTGGTTTAATAGCTGCATGTCCACAAGCAAGAAATTGACAAGTGAAATATTGCATTATAATTTATAAAACAGGGCAACTTATTATGTACTACCATTTGCAATAAGGTAATGTATTTGGTTTAATAGCTGCATGTCCACAAGCAAGAAATTGACAAGTGAAATAGTGCATTATAATTCATAAAACAGGGCAACTTGTTACTAATATTTGCCAAATTATAAGGTAATATATTTGGTTTAATAGCTGCATGTCCACAACCAAGAAATTGACAGGTGAAATAGTGCATTTTAATTTATAAAACAGGGCAACTTGTTACTACCATTTGCCGAATAAGGTAATGTTTTATTTATTTTCTATTAGTGTAACTTTGTAGTTGTAGATTCAACGCTTACCGATCACCGCTTTTTCGTCTTTAAAGTACTCGCCTTCGCTTTAAAATTTGACAAACGTATTAACGCGACTTCGATTGCTTCCGTCCTTTGAAAACAACGAAATTTTCCGGAAGTAGAAGAACCACCGTTCGTCATCTTTCGTATATCCGACGATTACCGAAGATGTGGCACCCACACACACACAAACATCCGGACACTTTTTCGACTACATAGTGGTTAGCCGCGCATGCCAGGCTTACCCACAAAAACGAAAAATAGCAATATTAACAACTGTTGAAATGTTTTATAATATAATTCTATGTACCTAATATGTAATATAATATAGTGCAGTCAGTGACTAGTACTATTGTCTATTGAGTTTTGAATAAATAACCGTAGGACAGGGATGTAGGGAGCTGCAGCTCCCCCCTTTGGTGATTTTTTTTGCCCATACAGTAAGTTCCAGTGTTACAAACTAAATAAATTAATTAAGAAATTAAACTTAAAGGTCCTTTCAGCATAAGTTTAAAGGTCCTTTCAGCATAATAAACAACATGTCTGTATAAAGACGTCAACAAAAAATAACTGTACCCCTTCATTGAAAACACCATATACTTTTCTGTTAGATACAATACTAAACCATACCATCACCATAGTAGATAACCCCCCCCCCCCAATATAGGGAGGAAATCACGCACCACATGGACCCCACACACGGGACGTCGGAAACTATCGGATTTTCCCGAAGTTGTTCGTGGTCTCCACTCAGGATGAGAGTGTGACATTAGTAAACCCTAATTAATTACACAGTAAAGATTAGCGAGGAAAATGTTTTATTTGTTAGGTCACACATTTAGTATTTTGTACAATAATAGTATTTTCATAACATTAGGACTGTTTATTTTAAAAGTTCGTTTTCTTGTATGATGTGCGATGCTTCCCCACCTCTAGTTCATACTTTAATTTTTATTTGTTTGTAACATATGTCAATATGCCCATAACGAATGCACTAGCGCCATATTATTTCCATACACCAATTTTCATGTTATCGACAAGAGCATCCAAGATTTCATAACGTTTGTCAATATATCCATGACGAACGCAAGCGTGCCAAATCATTCGAATAAACTGTTTGTAAATGTCTCTCTCATCCCAGATAGGTGTAGTACCAAGAACAATTAAAGACTGGATTTTGTAGTTTACATAACAACTTCTTTATTTAATATGAACCACAATATAATATATCGCATGCCTATTGAGAAAGTTAGTCAAAATCACTGAGTCGAATACGTATATTGAACATTTGTCCTTTTGTTATTGGATTACCGCTGATTCTAGTAGTCCATGTCGGTGTAGCCCCCTCCTAGTCTGTCGCCTATTCTTCAAGGTAGTCTGGTCGAACCACACGACAACCTGATCGGGTCGTATGGGGCAATATTGGTGGGTTAACTAGGGGAGGGCAACTGCGAAGTTGGTTGTCTGTTTGAGCAGGTTTTAAGCGGTCGATGGAATGTTCCTTGATCTTCCCGTTAACGTTTAGGGCAAAATGCTTGTTTGTCCTCTGGATCACTTCGAAGGGGCCGTCGTAGGGTCGGGTTAACGATGGGGCATGGGCGTCTCGACGAACGTAAACATGAGTCGCGGTGTGTAAATCTGGAGGGATGTAAGTAGTTCGTTTTTCATGCCACCTGGGCAGGAGAAATTCCTGGCGTTGCATAGTGTTACGTAATCGAGAGACTAGTGTAGATGCGTCTTCCTCGGCTGGAGTGGAAAAGAAATCTCCGGGCAAACGCAAGGTGGTCCCATACACCATTTCTGCTGATGTGCATGATAAGTCTTCCTTGAGTGTAGTTCGAATACCAAGCAGAACGATAGGGAGTTCTTCAACCCAATTCTCATTTGACAAACGAGCTTTCAGTGCACCTTTTAAATGCCGGTGAAACCGTTCCACCAATCCATTTGCCTGTGGGTGATATGCCGTGGTACGATTGCACTTTGTTCCGAGAAGATTCATCAATGCTTGCCAAAGGTGAGATTCGAATTGCTGTCCTTGATCCGAGGTGATTGTCGTTGGGACACCAAAGCGAGCTATCCAACCTGCCAACAAAGCAGAAGCACAGGATGCTGTAGCATCGACCATTGGGATTGCTTCAGGCCAGCGCGTATATCGGTCAATACATGTGAAAAGATAGGTGTGACCGTTCGAGGATGGCAATGGGCCGACGATGTCAATGTGAATACACGAAAAGCGAGAATCAGGTGCCTTGAAAGCTTGGAGCGGGGCTTTAACATGCCTTTGTATCTTAGACTGTTGGCAGTCGTGACAAGCGCGAGTCCAATCTGCAATGTCTCGTTTCATATTAGGCCAGATATATCGAGAGCAAACTAAATGACGGGAAGCTTTGACACCAGGGTGAGATAGAGAGTGCAGGTTGTTAAAGATCTCGCGGCGCATTCCTCGTGGTATCAGGGGTCTGGGACGCCCTTGGGAGGTGTCGCACAAAAGGGTGTGGGTGGAATTTGGAATAGGGAGTTGCTCAAGTCGTAAGGAGGTGTTGGAAGCCTGCAGTTTTTGTATTTCGTCGTCGCTACTTTGAGCCATTGCTAAAGCTTCGAAATCTGTTGTTCAAAGACTTGGATGTTACGCGACAGTGCATCCGCTACTTGGTTGGCTTGCCCCTCTATGTAACGAATGTCTGTTGTGAATTCCGAAATAAAGGATAACTGGCGACTCTGTCGTGGTGAGCGGCGGTCGGAGCTGGACTGTAGTACAAACGTAAGCGGTTTGTGGTCGGTATTGACATAAAAGTTTCGTCCTTCAAGGAAATACTGGAAATGGCGAATAGTTAGGTATATCGCTAATAACTCGCGATCAAATTTACTGTAGTTAAGTTCAGCACGACATAATTCCTTGGAAAAGAAAGAAATTGGTTTTCACAGCCCGTCGATCAACTGTTCGAGCACTCCTCCTGCCTGATTAGAGGCATCAGTTGTTATGCGGGTGGGAGCATTCGGTTGAGGATGAATCAGCATAACACCTTCAGATAAGGCGCGTTTTGCTGTTTCGAATGCAGAATGACAGGTGTCGTCCCAGACAAAGGTCTCGCCTGCTAAGGTTTGGTGTAGGGGTTGTAGAATCTCCGCGCAGTGGGGGACAAAGCGATGGTAGTAGTTCACCAGACCCACAAATCTGTGGAGGGAGGGCTTATCCTGGGGAACTGGGAAGGCCCGAATTGCTTCAACACGAGTGATATGGGGGCGTATGCCTTCTGCGCTAATTGTATGGCTCAGGAAATTCACTTCTGTCTTACCAAACTCGCACTTTACTGGGTTGATGACCAGTCCCTGGTCAGCTAAGCGTCGACAGAGGGCACAGAGGTGTTGTAGATGCTCCTCATGTGATCTACTTGCAACTAGAATATCATCCAGGTAAACAAAGACAAAATCCAAGTCTTGACAGATGTCATCCATAAAGCGCTGAAAGGTCTGTGCCGCATTCCGTAACCCAAAAGGCATGGAGCAAAACTCAAAGAGGCCAAAGGGGGTGATGATGGCTGTTTTGGGCGATGTCGGTTTCATGGACGGGTATCTGGCGGTAGGCTCGAACAAGATCGATCTTGGAAAAAATTGTTGCTCCTGCTAAATGTGATGTAAAGTCCTGGATATGGGGTATGGGATATCGGTCAGGTGTTGTGACCTTATTGAGTCGACGATAGTCCCCACATGGCCGCCATTCACCATTAGCTTTGGAGACCATGTGTAATGGTGAAGCCCAGGTACTTGAGGAAGGTCGTATAATTCCCATTGCGAGCAGTTTGTTGAACTCGGCTTTAGCTGCTGCTAGCTTTTCAGGCGACAGACGCCGTGTACGGGCGAAAACCGGAGGGCCTTCAGTAACAATGTGATGTGACACACCATGTTTAACGGGGGTGTCGCTTGTACAAGGTGTGGTCAGTGTAGGAAATTCTGCTAGTAATTGTGTGAAGGGGTCGTTATTGTTTGGGTGTGCAAAGATGTGTTGAATGGATGACGAGAAGTCCGGTGACACTTCAGCCGTAATACGTATTTCATTTCTTGTGTCAATCAAGCGTTTCTGAGAAAGGTCGACCAATAATTTATGCTGCAGGAGGAAATCAGCACCTATTATCAGTTGTGTGACGTCAGCAACCTGAAATTTCCAGGTGAGGGGGCGTGGGAGCCCGAAATCAAGAACTAATTGTTTAAATCCATAAGTATTAATAAAAGAGTTATTCGCAGCACGTAATGTTACATTACTTTTGTTCAAACGGTCTGCTCGGCATGCTGGGTAAACACTAACTTCTGCCCCAGTATCAACAAGAAAATAATGTTTCAAGTTTTTATCCAAAGTTTTAAGAGAGATGACTTGCCAGTCGTATGGGCTGCGTTCATCGACTGGCCTGGTCGTTTTCCGAACTAGCCTTAAAGGTGCAAGGATCCCGGCACTTCGTGGCCTTTGCACCGAATCGCTCATGATACCAACAAAATCCAGTGTTTCCATCAGGAGGTTTCTTGTCTTGTTGAGACTTCGGCTGAGATTGCAAAGCATGCCAGAGCTTCTTGATCTCGGAATTTATCGCAGCAATCTCGGGATTGCCCGCTTGCAAGTAGCGGATCTGCCCTAGTGGACTATATGCAGCTTGGGGGCCTTGTACTTCCACCATGTTATCGGCCATCTCTGCTAGAGCACTAAGGGCTTTGTCCTTATGAATAGCCAATGCTGTGCGAATTGTAAGGGGCAGCTTTTGAAGGTAAATCTCCCGAAAGATTTCATCCTGGTCTGCTTCACCTGTTGTGCCGCCTCTGAGCTTCAACATATGACGTAATAACTGCGAGGGCTTTCGATCACCTAGCTCTTCAGCATTTAGTTGTTGCTGTAGTTGCTGCCGTCTCAACATGCAAACACGCTTTTGCAATTCTTCCTTAATAGCTTTGTACGGCTGCTCTGGCGGACGAAGTATAATATCACGCACTTCTGAGGCATATCGGGTGGGCAAAACGCAGACAACATGTGCAAATTTTGTCTTCTCCTGTGTAATTTTCAGTGCTTCGAACAACGCTTCAACTTGCGCGAACCAAAGTTCGGGATCAGACGGCCAAAAATCGGGTAACTTGAGGGAAATTGCATACGTAGTGGCAGTCGCTTGCGGTGCTTGTTCTTCGTCGGTCATTTTCTCGTCGGGGTCACCAATGTAGTACCAAGAACAATTAAAGACTCGATTTTGTAGTTTACATAACAACTTCTTTATTTAATATGAACCACAATATAATACATCGCATGCCTATTGAGAAAGTTAGTCAAAATCACTGAGTCGAATACATATATTGAACGTTTGTCCTTTTGTTATTGGATTACCGCTGATTCTAGTACTTCATGTCGGTGTAGCTGCAGTGGGTGCCACATAGGTATCAATCTTTCTTTTGCCTTTTCCGTCAGTTCATTTAGAATTTTATTTTCAAGACTGGAAAAACACATGTTGGTACGTTGTATAAGTTCGTCCTTCCATAAAAATTTGATGTTGGCTGTCATAATGGTGAATGATAAGTAATATGCAGTAGTGTTTCAGTCACAGTAAATGAAGTATCTTTGGTTACAAGATCCGCCTATTGTTAACGAAACTCAAACCTAACAGCTCTTTTAATGTTGGTGAAACTGCGATAGTAATGAATTGATCAGACAATAGAGGGATTAATGTGAATATAATTAATTACGCTAGAAGCATTGCGTTGAAACGTTTCCCCTGGTTAGTTTGCTAACAAATATTATACACTAAAGGATTCCGGGTGAAAATTTTTTACTCAATTTACTAACCCTAATAGTGAGGTGGCTATTTTAATATTAGCGACACTGGGATAATAATGAATTGATCAGATACAGAGGGAAATTAATGTGAATATAATTAATTATGCCAGAAGTGTTGCATTGAAACGTTTCCCTTGGTTGGTTTACTCATAAATATTACACGCTAAAAGATGATTTCAAGGGAAATAGTTTACTCAATTTCCAAACTATTTGCCTTATTGCATAATTTGACTGAAGTGATTCTTTCACAGTGATAATGTGAAAACAAGCGAAAGTATGTGTGAAGAATAGTAACGATTTAGTTCATTGATGACGAGAATGTGTGTATGATTAATATGAAATGATTGACAACATTGAGATTTCGTTTACGTTCTTTCAAAAATTTGGGGGTTCTTAAAAAAGAACCGGTCTTTTTCTTCTTCTTTTCCTTGCTTTAAATCTTCTCCAGCCACATAGCCAAGGCGTCAACTTCGACTTTGGCACAGTGTTGGTACGCCCAGGCATCCAAGTGTCAGCCACAAGTCTCTAACCAGCCCAGCTGATCAAACAGTTTTTCTGCTTTGGGGCAGCCAAAGCATTCCAAATTAACTGAAGGGATGCTTAGTTTTTTTAGAGAATCCCTTTCAATAATTCCGCCTTTGTAGGCAATCGTAGAGTTTGGGTTCTTTTTTATTTTTCTGTAGAAATTCTCCACGATTGCCTCCAACTCTGAAATATGAAATGCTTTAACGCCCCGCGGCACCCCAAACGGCAGTGTGACGATGTTTGCATTTCGTTTATTATTACGCTTACCATATAAGGTTCAGTTAATAGATTCAGATTGTTAATTGCATGCTTTATGTTAATTATCCGTAGCTGTATATTACGCTGTATTTGTTTTATTATATTATATTGATCTTGTTAGCAGAGTAAAGTTGTCTGGTTTTCCTGCACGTGTTACATGGTATCAGGTGTTTAAAAGAACCTGTAGTTAAAAGTCAGAATGGCTTCAAATAATTCGGCAAGACGGCCAGAACCGCTTAATTTTGAAGACCGAGCTCATCACGGGGAAAATTGGAAGAATTTTAAGCGAGAATGGTCGTAATACAAAATAGCAGCGGGAATTGCATCGAAGACAGAAAAGATTTAAGTCGCCGCCCTTCTGAACGTATTCGGAAGAGATGCCCTGGATATGCACGAAACATTTCAGTGGGATGACGAAGGTGACAACTTCAAAATAGCAAAAGTGCTGGGGAAATTCGAAGAATGCTGTGTGCCTGCAAGAAATGAAATCTTCGAGCAATACAACTTTTTCAAGCGGAACCAGAACAATGGCGAGTCGTTAGATGCTTACATAACAACATTGTTAAAGCTCTCAGAGACGTGTGCGTTTGGGGAACTACGTGAGTCGCTAGTTCGTGACCGGCTTGAGATGACCATGTTCAAGAAAAGCTATTGGGGAAACGTGACCTAGACTTGGATAAATGTATCGAGATACTTAAATCAAGCGAACTGCCCCATTTCCAATAATGTGTTGGTCATGCATAACAAATCGCGGGTTTTTCCCCGAGGCAGTACAATGGTGCAACTAGATCGTGGTGGTCACGGTTATGGAGTGCAATGTCTGGTTGTCGAGAATTGTGAAATACCATTGTTGAGTTTAGTGACAAGTAAGCAACTTGGCTAGTGAAGATCATCTATAGTTACAGCACACCAAATCCTCAAGTTTCAAGACATCTACGTCAAGTAAGGACTGATACGCCTAACAAACCGATAGGAAAGGACCAAATTCTCCACGATTACGGAGATGTTTTCGAAGGAATTGGCTGTTTACCCGGAGAATACCATGAAGAAGTGGATTTAGAACACTCTCCAGTAATACATGCATCTCGGAGAATTCCTATAGCGATTTAGGACTCAGTTAAAAAAAACTGCAGAAAATGGAAGAAAACGGTATCATCGCAAGAATAACCATGCCAACTCTGTGGGTTTCGTCAATGGTCGTTGTTCCCAAGAAGAATAATCAAGTTTGTGTGTGTATCGACCCACTTGATTTGAATAACGCCATCAAGCGGTGTCATTATCCATTACCAACGTTGGAAGAAGTCGCGACGAGATTGCCTAAAGCTAAGGTATTCTCAGTATTTGATGCGAAGTCGGGGTTTCGGCAAGTGAAAGTATCAGAGAGCTCCTGTAAACTGACCACCTTCAATACTCCGTTTGGGCGATATTATTGGAAGAGAATGCCATTCGGAATTAAGTCAGCACCCGAAGTTTGGCAGCGAAAGGCTCACGAGTTCATTGAGAATTTGCACGGGGTTGAAGTCATAATGGATGATTTCTTGGTCATTGGATATGGTGATACGGTTGAAGAAGCTGTGGTAGACCATGACAAGAACCTTCTTGGTTTCTTAGAGCGTGCTCGAGAAAGAAATCTGAAGCTAAACCCGGAAAAGATGAGACTACGTTTGAAAGAAGTCCCATTCATTGGTCATCTGTTGACACCACAAGGTCTGATCCCTGATCCGGCTAAAGTGGATGCCATTGCGAATATGCCAACGCCATCAGATGCTAAGTCCTTGAGAAGAGCATTAGGAATGATCAACTATTTGGCCAAGTTTCTGCCAAATTTATCCACTACAAGTGAAGTTTTGCGAAGCCTGGTGCAAAAAGGTGTGGATTGGCACTGGAGTGATCGTCACGAGAAAGCCTGGGACGGGTTGAAGAAGAGCATAACAGAGGCTCCAGTCCTGGCGTTTTTCGATCCTGAGAAAGAAGTGACTATCCAGTGTGACGCTTCGCAAGGAGGTTTAGGGGCTGTCCTAACCCAAGAAGGAAAGCCTATCTACTACGCGTCAAGAGCGCTGTCGAAAGCTGAGAAGAATTATGCTCAAGTGGAAAAAAAAACTCTTACGATAGTCTTCGCTTGGGAATGTTTGGATCAGTATGTCTACGGAAGATCGTTACGGTTGAATTGGATCATAAACCTCTGGAGCAAATCGCAACGAAGCCCTTCCATGAAATCCCGAAGAGATTGCAGCGTATGTACCTACGATTACAGAAATACAACGTGAAGATCACTTACAAGAAAGGAGAACAATTGTTTATCCCGGATACCCTGTCTCGTGCATATCTGACAAAGACTGATGATGTACAGAATGATGTAGTTGGAAAAGAAGAATTCGGTATCAAATTGGAAGAGATCAACTTGGTGGCTGAAGTACCCATTGAAGGTCCCTGCTCGACCATGGGCCAAGGTAGGAGTAGACCTGTTTACTCTTGAGAACAGAAATTACTCACTAACAGTTGATTACTTTTCTAACTTTGTGGAAGTAGATTATTTAACGAGCACTACTAGCACAGCAGTTATTAAAAAGATGAGAGAGCAGTTTAGTCGACATGGTATTCCAGAGATTGTATTTTCTGACAATGGTCCTCAATTCTTGTGTGGAGAATTCAAGTCTTTTTCTGATGGTTGGGAATTTGAACATTGTACGTCTTCACCGTTCCATCTGCAGTCCAATGGAAAAGCCGAAAACGCAATGAAGACGTGTAAGTTAATTATGAAGAAAGCAGCTTTGTCAAAGTCGGATGTATACCTCACGTTGTTGGATTTCAGAAACACCCCAAGCGAAAGAGATAATACGAGTCCGTCGCAGAAACTGTTTTCTAGAAGAACGAGAACGCGTATTCCAATGACAACAGATCAGTTATCTCCTCAAGTAGTAGCGAAAGAGAGAGTTTTGGCTGGTTTGGGTCGTGCCTTTAGCGTTGCAGCAAAGGCATTATGATACGAAAACTTGTGTTTTGCCATCTTTAAAGCCCGGAGAAATGGTTTGTGTAAGGTTGCCTGGCGAACAGAAATGGTCTCTGGCAACTTGTTCGAAGCAAGTTGGTCCTCGATCGTACAAAGTGTTGGGTGATGATCGAAAGTACAGACGGAATCGACGCGATCTGAGAAAGACCCCAGAAGACCAGTCGGATTCCACCAAGGAGAAGTTAACATCGAGAGGGTGGGGTGAAATTCCTACTTCAAATGACTCGGTTCTAGTACCTATGTCTGGAGATGTACCTAGTACCCGAGATAGTGGGCAATCATGTTTAAGAAGATCTACTCGAGTGAGAAAATCACCTGAACCTTTTCAAGCATAAGGACAGATGGTTTAGTTTAGGAACATTTGTAGGAAATATAGTATATTAACTTATTTAGTTTGAGGAACTTATCGTTATAACTTAAACAGGAAGAGATGTGACGATATTTGCATTTCGCTTATTATTATGCTTACCGTATAAGGTTCAGTTAATAGATTCAGATTGTTAATTGCATGCTTTATGTTAATTATCCATAGCTATATATTACGCTGTATTTGTTTTATTATATTATATTGATCTTGTTAGCAGAGTAAACTTGTCTGGTTTTCCTGCACGCGTTACAGGCAGTTTGTGAATTTTTGTCTGAACAAAGTTACACATTTTCTGGTCTCTTTCACTTAAAGCAGACCAACGAAGCCCGATATCAAAAAAGGATTGCCTGTAGGTATCTCCGACTTTGATGATACCAAGCTCCTTACAGTAGAATTCTCTTCCAACTTTAAAGCCGTCCATGTCAATGACAGCAACGATGTCATCTTCGCAAGCCATAGCAAACAGTGAGCATGATTTGCGAGATGGCTCAAATATAAAAGGAATTAATTTCGAAAGTGGGCGTGCGTACAAATATTTACGTCATACCTACCATATCAAAATTATAATAATGAATTGATCAGATAATAAAGGGGTTAGTGTGAATATAGTTAATTACGCACAAAGCGTTGCATTGGAACATTTCCCCTGGTTAGTTTACTTGACTGATCCTCTCCTTATCAAAGGACAGTATAAAATTCAGGGTATAATTTCTGTACCTTTAATCTGAAAAGTGTTACCTAATATTTCAAACATGAATTCTTTCCAAGTAAACAAAAAGATGTTCAGTGCACACAGTTTAATAATAGTGGACAAGTTAGTATCGTGGGAAGTGAAAAATTTGTGTGATTTGATGAATATGATATTTGCTGAAGCCGTTTATCGTGAGGTTGGAAACGTTTGCAAAGAAATGTGTAGAGGTCGCAAAGTGAATCATCCAAGTCAAAGAAGACATACTTTGGAAAGAGTTTATTGAAGCTATCCGGGTGATGAAGTTCATTTTTGCTCGTAAAAGGTATTGCCATACTTGTAAAAAGGGGTACGATAAATTGACTGATCATTTATGCCCCGGACTCGTGTAAATTGTGCTATTTTTCAAATTGTCCAATTTTTCATGGATTCCTTGTGCTTGTTGCATGTGTGTTTTTAAAAGTCAAGAGTGTTTCGATTGACATAAGCAATCTTTGGGCAATGCAAAATCCATCTGTAACTCATTGATTAAGTGTCTTCATTGCGATCTCGTTGTAAAACAGAGTAAATTGGGGCGTGATTTGCATCACTGCGGCGAGACTTGTTGCTCTATGTGCGATGTCTACGTAAAAACAGAGAATCATGAGTGTTATATGCAACCCGTAAGAGAGAAAAACACCAGAGACATAAACCATGAAGCAAACCTCTTGATACAGAGGCGAACGATGAAGACAACTCGCCTCAAAGCGGGTACAATCAACTCCTGTTCTTTGACTTTGAATGTCGCCAAGAAAACGGAAACCACAAACCCAACTTTAGCATAGTGCAAAATGAAGCGGAGACAAGTGCATATTTAAAGCATTAATATTAGAAATGAGTTTTGTGAGTGGTTATTTACAAGGGAGCATGCAAACTGCATTGTTATAGCCCATAATTTTCAAGGTTATGACAGTTATTTTATTCAACAATTGCTACACGAGCATGGCATGGTTTTCGATATCATCACGAGAGGTGCAAAAATCCTTACGTTAAATGTCCCAATGTTCAAGATTAAATTCATTGACTCTCTCAGTTTCATACCCATGAGACTTACTGATTTTCCAAAAACCTTTGGTCTCAATGAGCTTGCAAAAGGTTATTTCCCTCACGTTTTTAACAAAAAGGAGAGTGAACATTATGTTGGGCCAATACCTTTAAGTCCATTTTACTATCCTGACGGAATGATTCCTGATGAGAAAGGTTTTTGGAATGGCACAGCAGTTTAAAAGAAATAATTACGTGTTCAATTTCCAACAAGAAATTCAAACTTACTGTCGTTCAGATGTCGATATTCTACGGCGTTGTTGCCTAGAATTTCGCGAACTGTTTCACAGTGTTATGGGTATCAACCCGTTTGAGAAATGTATCGGTTTTTCGAAAGAATTTTCTTAATGAAAACACTATTGCCATCATCCCTTCTCATGGCTATCGTCCGAAAGACAAGGAAATCGATCCTGGCTCTAAAATGGCTAACCTATACTGCCGAAAATAATGATATTCACATACGCAACACGCCCGCAACGCTGGTGAGAAAGTGTTGGAAATTATCTGCTGGATGGTTATCATGAAGAGACCAACACAGCCTATGAAATCAGTTATTGCTTTTGGCACGGTAAGTTGTTAACGTCATCATTTCTTTCTATGCTCATGTCTAATATTTTGTTTATTAAACTTTTGCAGGATGTTTAAAATGTTATGCCAGAGATACGTTGAACAGTGTAAAACCATGCATGACCTGCATCAAGCTACAATGGAGAATGTGTTACCTCAGAGATCAGGGCTTTAATGTTATCGAAGTATGGGAGTGTGACATCACACAAAAATTAAAATACGATGAAAATATGAAGAATCATCTCCAAAATTACAATATAGTTGATCCTTTAAAACCTCGTGATGCTTTCTCTTGTGGTCGAACCAACGCTGCCAAACTATTTCACAAATGCAAAGATGGCGAAAAAATAAGGTGTAGTATGAATCTTTGAGTAAAGTACAACTTAAATATACAACTTTATTATACAACTATTAATGACTTTTTATTATGACGTCATGATGACATCAGCTATTCATTTTGGGGTAAGTATAATGCTACAAACAATGCAGTACACAATTTTTTTTCCTTGTCATTGACGTATTTTATCTTGCTTTTTAGGAAAATTTGCACAACGTCCTATTATGACGAAAGTAGAATTAATAACAGACCCACAAGTTTACTTTGACTACTGAACTTCAGATGAAATCAACGTTCTCGACGCAAAATTCATCAATGATGAATTGATGGAAATTCATTATGAGAATAACAAAAATTTCATTGCACCAAATTCAAAAACGAATGTTGTCATCGCTGCTTTCACCACAGCCTACGCTCGCCTCAAACTCTATGAGGTTCTGGACCAACTTCAAGAAAGAGTTCTGTATTACGATACTGACTCAGTGATATTTGTCAGTAAACCTGGTGATCCAATGCCACTGGTCCGTACCTCGGTGAACTTACAGATGAATTAAAAGGAGATTACATTACTACATTCTTTTCGGGTGGTCCAAAGAATTACTGTTACCGCACAAATTCAAACGAAGTTGAAACAAAGATACGAGGTATCACATTGAATTGCACCTCAAGGCAAACAGTAACTTTGAGGTGATTTGTGCTTTGGTATACCTTCATGCAAAGTGTATTGTCGCAGGGCAAGTATTGGTAGATATTCCATTCAAGATTACCCGCAACACCAAAACAAAGGATATAGAGACCAAACGAATGAAAAAGGACTACCGTATTGTTTATGACAAACGTGTTATTATCGATGAATACAAAACACTTCCTTATGGATTCTAATTACATAGTAACAGTTTTGTAGAACTAGGCTATATTGTCTTTATGAAAGTATTATATGTTTAAACAAATGTCAATAAATGAAGTGTTGAAGATTTACAATGTTATTATGAGTCTTTTTCTCGATTCTTTTACACTCTGACGTTTCCCTTGCTTTTCGGATAATCACCAATTTGATTTGTTTCAGTATCACAATGTCGCTACTCGTTTTCTTCATTTTGGATTCCTTTATCTTATGCAGTTTGGATTTTTTATGACCTTAACATCTTTCTTCTTTTTAAGTCCCTTTTTACGTAGATCATTTACCCCTGTTGATTTTGAGCGTAAAACCTCTTTCTTTGAAGATGCTTTAGGAAAGAACGTCTTGTGTGCACAATTGGCTGGCATATTGCAAACTGAGAATACAATTTAAAATCACGTCATATTATACAGATGGTTTTCGCAATTGCAGTAAACACACTTATTACAAAAAACCTAAAGATCTCTTCTTTCAGCATTCGTCTTTGATCTGTACAAAAATTACATCTCCAATCAGCACGCGTGTACTTGAGCAGCTCTGGATCATCTACACAAGGTTTAATTTCCATTAGGGTTTCAATAAAAGCCTCCGTGACCTTTGTCTCTGAGATTTTTGATAACGCCTCGTCAAAATACATACATAACTGTTCGTCTTTTTCCATAGTCAGACATTGATGATTTGTCTGAGATAAATTTTCCATATTACAACCATCACAATTTTCAACCACAAGTTGTGACATCATCGTTGATATCTCTTTTGCGTAACACTTTAGCAGTTTGTTTTTCAATATGTTTTAGACGATGATGTATCAAACATTTTGTTGTCAATATCCACAGGTTTGTATGGAGACATCTTTCTTTCACGGCTCTCTAGATAGGTTTGATGGGATTTTTAATGTTACACATGTTTTATACCACATGTACAAGGTCAGCATATTCAGTGTGAGGCAAGAGCCGTAGTGTAAACATGGTTAATTCCTTTAAAAAAAGTCCTAAGATCAACAAAAATCCCAACAGGCAAAAGTATTTAGGTTAGGCATAAGCTTTGGTCGCAACGATCTTAATCTCAAAGGGCATGTACAAATGGGTTATAACAGTAAAACTATTAAAAACTACAGGCCAGTCGACAATGCGGAACAAGACATTGTTCAATTGCAAAGTGAGAGGCATGAAAGTATTGAAAACGTTGAAGAGTAAACATCAAACCCTCATTTCACGCCTGAACATGAATGAATACTTATCTAGCGTTTATTATGATCCTAAACGACCTGGAGGGTTTGGTGGAGTGAATCGTTTGTATGATGATGTTAAAAACGCAGGAAAATTTAGAATAAGCCGGAAAAAAATCAAGCAATGGTTAATGGAACAGGACACATACACTTTGCATAAGCCTCTTCATCGTAATTTTAAACGAAATCGCACAATCATGGGTGGTATTGATCAGTTTTGGCAGATGGATTTGGCAGATTTACAATCCATACAGAAATTTAATGATGGATATCGATATCTCCTTGTATGTATTGATGTCTTCTCCAAATACGCCTGGGTTATTTCATTGAAAAATAAAACAGGCCCTTCCCTGGTGGAAGCTTTTAAAATTATTCTCTCTTCTGGACTTAAACCTGAAAAAATTATGACTGACCAAGGAACGAAGTTTTTGAACAGACATTTTCGAGCCTTGAAGAATGAAGAAGATATTGAGTTGTACAATGCCTATAACGAAACCAAGGCCTCGATCGTAGAACGCTTGATTTGTACTTTGAGCGCAAAAATGTGGCGGTATTTTACAGTGAAGAAAACCATGAGATACATTGACATGCTGCCAGATTTAGTTAATTCTTACAATCATAGTGTTCATCGTAGCATTAAGATGAAGCCTGCGGATGTTAGCATTGAAACGAAAAGAAAGTACGGCATAGTTTGTATGACGATCATAATGTTGGAAAAAATGTAAAGTACAAATTTAAGATTGGTGATCAAGTTAGAATTAGCAAAATAAAACGAAAGTTTGAGAAAGGTTACTTGCCAAATTTTTCCAAAGAAATATTTATTATAAGTAAGCAGGTACCTCGCGATCCTCCGGTATATAAGCTAAAAGATTATGACGATGAGGAACTCCATGAAATGTTTTACGAAAAGGAATTGCAAAAAGTTATCAAACATGACGACGTGTACGAAGTTGAAAAGATTCTTAAAAAACGTGGGACAGGCGAAAATGTGCAATACCTTGTGAAATGGGAGAGGGTTACCCTAACAAATTCAATTAATGGGTGTCTGCTTCACAAATTAGTAAACTTTAAAAACTATGTTTTATGTTGTCTTTCTTTTATTTGTGATGTTGAGGTCGTGATGGACGGAGCACATTTTTATGTTACTCTTCCCAGCAATGCATCCCTTTCAACTTTTCCCAATAACACAACAACAAGTTATCAGGTGAAATTACTGCAACTAATTGATTTAGACGGTGATTGGGAAGTAGGTCTATATTCTATAAACTATCCACATACATGGTATTCCCTTTAATACAATGAAAGCAAAATATACTACACTGCAGATGGTGTTTATTTTCTGGCATCTTTCGTCGACTATGGTCATTATGAAACAATAAACAACATAAAATCGTTTAATACATGTTTGAAGAAGGCAAAGACAAAAAGACAATATTAGATTATCGTATAATTCTCGAACGGAAAAAGTAACTGTTCATTTGAAAAATGGTCACCAAATTATTATTAATGGACGGATATCCATTATGTTAGGATTTGGTGGAAAAGAAACGAAAATTGTTAAAACGACAGAGAGCCTGTACGTGTCAGACTTGCATGGTTCGATTATAATATACGTCTATTGTGACATTGTCAAACCGCAGGTTGTCAGAGATACAATTGCATAGCTGATCAAAAGCATTCCTGTCGAAGGAAAAGTGGGTGACACTATAACAAAAACGTTAGCTAATATACAGTATGTACCAGTTCAAAAGAAAACTTTTGAAGATATAGAACTTCTTTTAAGGGACGACACAGGCCGTCCTGTTTCATTTCAACGTGGTAAGGTATTAGCATCACTTTACTTCAGACAGCAAAATTCGTCATTTTTAAAGTAAACTATGGCTCAAGCAGATAAATACATGCGTTATTATCTAGACCAACAGCAGGGGTACGGAATTCCCGTCTTTGGACGGGCAATTGCCAAAGCATTTGGCAATTTAGCCTTAAGTTCATTGAGTTTCCGGTATTTTAAAAATATTTAATTACCTAGCTTACCATGATGGTGTCTGTAGTGGCGTCACACGTGATAAATGGAACATTGATTATGCATATGTAAATAGGTATATAGGCAAGATTTGGTGTGTATTTAACATAAACGTCGAGAAAGGATTATGACCCAAGCGTACATGTCAAGTTAAGAGCAGCTTCTACATATTTTGGTCCTTTGAACCGGATTAAGTGAACGTTTCTAGGTGCAAACAGGCTCTAGAATTATGGCTGAAGCCTTGAAAGCTTCAGATGATGCTGAAGCTGATGCGGTGGCACTTGGTGTAAGCGACTAACATGTAAGTTCGGATAGGATGAGAGATGGCGGTGAAACCGTGGTGCCCCCTGAGCCTGACGATGGTTCTTCCTGACTTGATGCAAGTGGCGGAGGATTTGGGCCGTCCATAAGGCAAAGACGGGAATTAAGACGAATACGCTTTTGAGAAGTTAACGAACTGCCGTTTGAGAAGTTAATGAAGTTAAAGAAATTGAGAAGTGCCCATCAAGGAAACTTGATGAACTTAGCTAGCAAGATTAAGTGTGCTTTTAGATGATAATACTAAGGCAGAATCAGTAAAGAAATTAAGCAAAATGTTTGACCAACAATGGAATCGTTTTGAACTCGTGCATAACGAGATATTAGCCCACGCGAGCCAAGATGAATTGACTAAAGAAAATGCTAAGCGTGTCTATAATGAGCTGTATGACCAAATCGCATTGTATTTTGGCCAACGAGGGGGCAGAGATGCACCTAAAGAAATCCAAAGTAGAGATTTTGAGAGGCGCCAGTATTTTCATAGTCATTCCAATGGTGTAAGCACTCGCACTAGCAGTACAAAATCTTCAACAATGGCCCGTCTTAGAAGGGAAAGGTGGAGCTGTCTCTAAAGCAATTAAAAGAGCGCCAACTGCTAGAAAAAGCAAACGAACAGCGTTTGCAAGAGCTTCAACATAAAATAGAAAAACAAAAACTTGAAAATGATTTTAAGATGATGCAATTAGACGAATATCATGCTATTGAGTTAAGTGATCAGAAACTAATGAGCGATGATGATTCGATTCACTTGACTTCACTGGAAAGATCTACATACCATTATGCTACACCAAGCTTAATACATTCTCGGATAAAGGAGATGAAACCCCTCTTTTTAAAACAAGCACAGCGGAATGGCCTAACGTTGTGAGCTCGGCACCGGTTGAAGCTGCTTCTACAACTATTACGATTCTACATTTAGCTGAGGCGATTGCAAATACGACGCATGCTGCGCCTATAAGTGTTACTAAATTCACCGGTGACCCAAAAGATTATGCTCGATTCGTGTCACGGTTCACTGATCAAATACTTTCCTAGCCAAAAACTTAGTTATCTGATACAATACGTCGACGGGGATGCTAAAGAGGCAATAGAAGACTTAGAAGGTATGGAAAAGGGAGCCCTGCAGGACACCCTGGTCATTCTCAAGTTGTGTTTTGGTCAGCGTAGATCCGCTCATTGGGGAGATTGCAGGCGTCAAGGCATTCAAAAATTAGCTGATAGATGTCAAATGGTTTACAAGACCCTACACGCCATGGGATGTCTGCACAAGGTGAATACCGACCATATGAGGAAGGTGGTGGCTCGTCTGCCTTTTCACAACCAAGCTGGAGAGATCGAGCTAGTGCGATTTTGAAGTCCGCAAGCTCTCGGCTCACATTCGGTGATCCAGTCGAATTTCTGCAGAAAAAAGCAAACTCAGAAAATAATACATTATATGGGAAGCTACCTGGCAGCTCCAAGAAAGACGAAGGGAGAGTATGTGAAAAAGGAACTTTGAAACCGCAGACAGGGCAAAGATTTCAAGCTATGCTACACAATCTCAGTTAAACCAGCCAAACCCACTATACAGGGTGTCTCAAAAAAAAGGTAATCCAACTTCAGCGCGCTGGCGTGCATGAATTACTCCACAAACGACTGTAATTTTTGGAATCATGAAAGAACAGAGTGTTAGCTATAGGATGTCTTGTTGTTTGTAAAATATGGAAGCAAAATGAGCAAATTACAAGCGCGATGAAAAATCTCAGTCGAAATCACATTTTTTCACCTCTGGGAGTTTAGTACAAACCTTTTGAAAACAAACTTTGTTTTGGCCCTTTGGGACTTAAAAAATTATGCCCCAATAACTATGTGAATGCAGTGCATGTTATTCTGATTGTCATCAATGTTATTCTGATTGCAATCACGTAAAGAGAAGATGGTTCAACTTACGACAGAACAACGCACGTTCATTGTTAAAAAATTTTACGAGACGGGTAGTTTACAAATAACGCGCGATGAATTTGGCGAACGTTTTCCTGACCGGCAGCCACCAGCACTCAAAACCATATGGGCAAATGTGAGAAAGTTTTCACAACACGGCACGACTCTGAACTGAAACAAAGGAAACTCCGGGAGACGCCGCACTGGACGATCAGAGGCAAATATCGAGGCAGTGAGACAACGGTTGGAAGAACATCCAAGAGAAACAAACGCAAGACGAAATGGTGTTGGTCTGCCACATGCCACATTTAACCGAATAACAAGGTTGGACCTTAAGATGCACCCTTACCGAATGCAAGTTCGACACCAACTCTTGCCCCAAGACTATGCTCGGCGCATGCAGTTTTCACAATGGCTAATAAACCGTTGCACGCAAAATGAACAGTTCCTTCGGCCCTTTGTCATTGGAGATGAAGCTGGTTTCCAGATGAACGGCAGAGTGAACAGCCATAACGTCAGAGAGTATGTAGCCGCAGGAGAACCGCCAGAATTCAACTTTGATGTCAACATCAGTCGAGAGAAACTAAACGTTTGGATCGGATCATAATGTGGAATGGCCCCCGCGATCCCCTGATCTAACCCCTTGTGATTTTTTTCTTTGGGGATACCTAAAGTGCAAAGTGTATACCACCCCTCCGGTTAATCTTGCCGACTTACAAAACTGAATTTCCAATGAAGCTGACGAGCTGAGGAACAATCGCGTGATAGTTAGAAGAGCCGTCCAATCAATGCTACGCAGATGTCAACGTTGCATCAAGAGAAACGGTGGACACGATGAAGGCGTGTAGCCTTTTTTAAATAATCGCGTGTAAATACGTTTTAATAAACATGAATAAATTAGAGCTAGTTTTGACATCTTTGTTATTAATTAGTCTTTCTTTTGTGAAAGGTGAAAAAATGTGATTTCGATTGAGATTTTTCATAGCGCTTGTATTTGCTCATTTTTCTCCCATATTTTACAAACAGCAAGATATCCAATAGCTAGCACTCTGTTCTTTTATTATACCAAAAATTACGGTCGTGTGTGCAGTAATTCATGCACGCCAGCGCACTGAAGTTGGATTACCTTTTTTTTGAGACACCCTGTATAATGTAAGATCATTGAGCTGCCCTCGCTGTCGTAACAACCACCCATTAACTTCGTGCAAGAAATTCCTGGACGAAACGCCACAAAGAAAACAAAAATTCGTCTTGGAAGCTAGATTATGTTTCCAATGTTTACTTACCAGGGCACTACAAGAGATACTGCAAGAATGTCTAGTGTGAAACATGCGGTTGTAACAAAAGACATCACAGTTTGCCGCCATTACTGAAGAGATCAGAGCAGGCGGTCCAAAAGAACCATGAGCATTTAAATACAAGCTCGGATGGGCTCTGATTGGCTCTGATGGGTCCGACGAATCG